CCCAGCTCTGTAACTGGATTTTGAAGCCTCTTGCTGCTGGTTGGAGGATAGAAACTATTGCTCATGTCTTACTTGTCCTGCTTCTGAATGATTCCAAGGTTTTGAATCCCACTAAGGAAATATGTGACTTTCATAAACCTCCTCAAGGAAGTCCTATTTTCCAATGACAGCTGTGAGCATGCAGCCTGAATTGGTCCCTGCAATCTCAGACAAAATGTTTCCTTCTCAACCAAGTCCAACATGTTCCTGGTTGAGAAAGATGGGAGATGTACACAGTGATTTCCTTCTGACATTTTCTTGCTCCAATAGAGCTGGCCACCTCTTAAACCCTAGGGAGCTGTTTGATTTGGCCTGTGCTGGTGAGGTTCTGGGAGGTGGGGCAGATGCTGCCACTCTGCAGGAGCCTGGGAGAGTCAATATTGAAAGGTCTCTTTGTTTTTCTGGCCTCCTCCTGTTGGAAACTATAGGCACTCATAATAAGGGTAAAGGGACAAGAGAGGAATTTCTGTACTGGAACAATAAATGTTTCTACAGTTCCCTTGAGGGAACCAAGTAATAGGAACTGGGCTTAAGTTGAGAGTAAAGTGAGTATGAAAAAAAAAAGTCAAAGAGATCAGGAGGAAGGATGCTATGAATCTAAATGTGAATCTAGAGGTGACACAGGAAGATGATGTCATACTCCTTAGAATTGTCCCTGTACACTTCAAGCCCACTTACTACTAACTACTTTTGCCCATTTGGAAACCCCCTGAAAGGGTTGGATATGGTTTGAGTGTGTATCATCCAAAGGTTCCTTTGCTGGAAGCTTGATCCTCAGTGTGGTGGTGTTGGGAGAGAGCAGAACCTTTAAGAGATGGAATCTGGTGGAAGATGATTATTATGTCCTTGGGTGCTGGAGGGATTGATGTAGTTCTCATGTGAGACCCCACAGCCTCACTCCTGAAATCTCTGTGGCTTCTTGTTTGGTCATATGACCTCTTCCTCTTGCGTGTGCTCCCACCATGATGCCATATGTCACATTATGATGTATCCAGACAACCCTCACAGAGCTAAGCAGATTCCTATATCATGCTCTTAAACCCCTATAGCTATGAACTAAAGAAACTTCATTTCTGTATAAAATACCCAGTCTCAGGTATTTTGTTATAGCAACACAAAACAGACTAAGACACCCCTTCCCAAGCCCCAGAGGAGTCAAAAACTCACAGCATGTCTAAATATCATCTACTCCAATGGTCCACTCAAACCCTCCTTCTATTATCTATTTTTCTGTGTCACAGAGAAAACAGGGGCCATCATCCCAGTGATTCATCCATTCTCTTCCCACTGCCTCATTCTTTACCCTCCCCCATCATTACTTTCCTCCTCCTGTTTCTCCAGGGTTCCTCTACCCTGACTTTTGCCCTCTAATCTTTCCTGCCTCTTCTTGAGGGCATCTTTTCTCTCTTCATTAGACCCTTGGCCTCATCCTGCAAACATCTTCAAGTCCCCACCTTGGTTCTCTTCTTCCATTTGCCCAACTCCCCACCCCTTGCCCCATTAGTTTCCTTGAGAGAGGTTCCTTCTTACTCCTTCATTTCCTCATTTCCCCTTCCCAAACTCATTGGGTTGCGGCTTCCATCACTCCACCAAAACATAAATGAAAACAACAACAAAATCACAACCAAAAAAATCTATTCTCAGGTCAGTGACCTTTAAACTGCCAATTCCAGGCTTTGCCATATGCATTCACCCTTCACACATTCACTCAGTTATCATGACCCGATGTCTGTAATGTCATGCATATAGGCCAGGGGGATGCAGAAATACCCGCAATAAACTCCATGTCCTTTGGATTTGTCATCACTCGTTTCTCAGTGTGGGTGACTTTACTTTTCCTGAAGCTGGATGGGTCTGGGCGTGCAGAGGAAACCAGAAGCCAGTGGGAGTCTGGGTGAGCATGAGGGTGTGGGTAAGGAAACATGAGAAAAACTTTGGCTGCAATGATAGTTGTTTCTTTGTGTTGCTAAGACCTGCCAGAGTGGCAGGGTTTGCAGCAGCTGTTTGGGGCTTTAGATCCTGATGCTAAACCCAGGCCAATTCTCCTAGCAAAGAGCTGTGTGGAAGTAGCTGATTCCTGGGGAGGCTGCATAGCTGGGAAACATGGTTTGAGTGAGTCTAACACTGGCCAAATTCCTATTTTGTACCCCTAGCTACCCTGTCTCTGTCACAGCCTCTATGACACACCCAATCATTAATTCTATGGCTGACTTACTTCAAAACTGAGAGCTTCCAGGGAATGATCAAGGTCCAGAACTAGCTGGACAATTTGCATGGTCCAGTGTAAAATAAAAATTCAGGGTCACTCTTCACAAAGGATTAAGGATTTTAAGAAGGTGAAAGCATGGCTGTAATCCCAGTGGGGGAGGCTGAGGCAGGAGGATCTCAAGTTCAAAGCCAGCCTCAGCAATTTAGCGAGGACTTAAGTAACTCAGTGAGACCCTATCTCTAGTAAAATATAAAAAAAGGGCTGGGGATGTGGCTCAGTGTTTGAGTGTCCCTTAGTTCAATCCCCAATACCAAAAAAAAAGAAGGAGGAGGAGGAGGAGGAGGAGGAGGAGGAGGAGGAGGAGGAGGAGGAGAAAACTGAGCGTTAAACCAAGAATGGAGCCCTAAGTGTGGGACCCCAGGTGATTTCATGTAACATACCCACGAAGTTGGCTTTGCCTACATCTATTCATCACTACCTTGATAAATACTTATTAAGTGAATGAATTTGGGGTCCTTATGCAATACTGGATCAGGAAGGCCATGTAGCCATAGAGTAAAAAGAAGTAAAGGTCCTCATCCTTCCTGAATTTAAGCCTGGACCAATCCATTATATCTACTGTGCCTCAGTTTCCCACATCCATACATGGAAGAATCATCTTTTCCCCATTTCTTCTTTTTTGCTCTGAGCTGAGAGAAAGAGAGCTCTAAGGCACAATTGACCTTTTAGCTCCTACATGTGAAGGCTCTATGATTCTGAAGGCAGTTACAAAGTCTCTGTTCCAGGAAAGCCAGTGCCAGCCAATCAGAGACAGCACCATCACAGCCAAAAGATATGGCCAGGGTTTGTACCATGAAATGTCTAGGGGTTCTGAATTGGGCTAAAAGGACAGGTGTTTTTCTGCCCTGTGAGAAAAGTGTAGTGAGACACAGAGACATGGGAACAGGAAGCAGAGTGGTGCTGACTTACAAAGACTGCATGGAATTTGGCAAGAAAACAAGTCCCCATGGCAGCAATTTCTCAGATGAGTCTCAGCCTTTCCAAGCTTCAATTATCCTACCTGTGAAATGATACAGTTAACAATAACAAAAATATCAGTCAGAGCAAGCACACATTGCATTTTTCATGTTCTAAACCCTCCTAGGATGCACATTTAAATTCTTAGAACAACCCTAAGATGCAGGATCTGTTAACCACCCACATTTGACTGATGAGGAAAGGTTCATTGATTTGCTAAGGCCATAGTTAGCAAGTTGGAGCTCACCAAGGTTCAAACCCAGGCCTGCCGGCTTCAGAGTCTATGTACTTGACCTTGATACTTCATGAGACTGTGAGGGACAAATGACCATCAACATGCAGAATTGCTTTAGAAATGGAAGGCAATCTAAACCAGTCAGGCAACAGTATTAATATCATTTATCCACAAGGATAACTGTGGTCCTTACCTCTGATGCCACTGACTTGACCTTCTGGTCTGTTTTCTCCTCTGTAAAATGGGAGTAGTCAGACTTCATCAGATCATCTCTGAGTCCCTTTGTCCCAGATACTGATGATGAAAGCTCTCCTTTCCTCAGCACAGGGCTGAGAAATAGGCAAGTCATCCATCCAGTGCTACCTGTTTTGAGACCTAGAAATTGTGTGTCAGAATAGCACCAGGGTCAGAGGTGGAGTACATTCCACCCTGACCTTGGGAGCTGACACAAACAGGCATGCCCCAGAACAGGACAGAAAAAGTCATGGTACAGAGCAGGAGCACAGCACAGGGAGGGCCCAAGGAGGCCACTGAGAGCTTCAGAAACCGTGGGATGGAAGGAAGTGGTGGGCTAGCTGCTAGCTGGTCTACAAGAAGAAAGGATGCAGAAAACCACTCATAACAGCTGTTCAAAAAGGGTTTGCTTCTGTCCACTACAGAATAGGGTTTAGTGGTGGTGGGGTGTTGGAGACAGATACTAATATATAAATCAGGCCAAGAATGATGGGCTCACCAAGAAGGGACTGTGGCATTCTGCAAGGGACAGTTTCTAGGGAAGGGTTTCCAAGAAAGTGATGGTTCAGGATTGGTAGGATTTCAATAGGCAGAGAAGAAAGAAGAGGGGCGTCCAGGCAAAGCAGGCGCTCAGAACATCCACAAAGAGCAGTCATTTTTGACAGTTAGCCAGCATGCTTAGAACAGGGGCAGAAGAGGTGAGGCTGGGAAATTAGACTGAGGCCAGAGAGTGTGCAGAGAAGATCTGGGTGCGGGTTATCTTTTAGTCAGGAGGCCTTTGGAGATTTATTTGCTTTATTGACAGATTCATGGGGGGGGGGGTAAATTATGCAAGCACTTGTGTCACCTTATAGAAGAGTCAGAAAAAGATCAAGAAAAAAAAATCCCCTTTAGTTTCTGTGTCCTAGGATAACGCTGGAGCAGGGTTTCCACGGGTGCACAGAAGTTCACCTGTCTTTCTAAGGAGCCTGCAAGGTCCAGACTGATGCCTGGCTAATAACTCTCTGCCGGGCTCCAGAGCCTGAAACTCCTCGGGAGTCAGCAAAGACATAGGGGTCAGGGGACAGAGGGGCCCAGGAGGCCTGATCCCTCCACAAGCTAAGTCAACAGCGTCGGTCCGATAGGCTTCCTGGAGGTCTCAGGTCGCCGGCTGGCGGTCGGGACCCCACCACGCAGCGCGCAGATCCCGGAGGGCGCCCAGGGGGCGCCGCTTCCACTTCAGCGTGGCTGGGGCTGGTCCAGTTCGCGCCGCCCCAGGCGGGAGAGTGGCGGCAGATCAGCGGCCGGGCAAGAGGCTTCCCGATAGCAGGCTTCCAGACAGCTGTGAGCCCTGTGGACCCGTGGTGCGACAGGTGCAAGGCAGGCGCCAAGGTAATGCGGAAGAAGTTTAAGGGGTGGGTGCTCTCGGGCCCCTCGGCCGGCCAGGGCGGCCAGGAGAGCGCTTCCTGCTTGCTTCTTTGGCAGTAGCAACAGCAGCAAGTGTGAGCATATGTGTGCAGGATACATGGTGGGAGGACCTGGCCCCAGGTCGCTGTACTTCCTGATCTGTCCCCAGGCCTGCCCTGGCCTTTGCTCCTTTCGCTTTTTAACCTGGTAGTTCAGGAGGGTGGGGAGCTGCTGAGAAACACTAGGGTTTTGATCAGGAAAGAACTTCAGGGACCCTCAGGCCGTATCCAGGCTCTTCATTTCATAGATGAGGAGACTGAGGCTCAGAGAGGTGAAGTGCCTTTCCCAGGGTCCCAGATTTAGAAACGAAAACTCCTGGTTTTCAGGACAGCGCTGCTAGGAGGCTGTGCCATATGGGCCCAGAGACACAGAGCATCAAAAAGACAAAGGGACAAAAGAGAACCTCCCAGAGCAAAGGAAGAGGTCAGGAAATGGGTGCTTCTGGGGCTTGGCTTCCTGCCTGGCCCTGCTTGTGCCCTGGTCTGGCTGTGTGACTCAGCCGGCCTTGTGCTGACTCGTCTAGGTGTGTGTGTGTGTGTGTGTGTCTCTGTGTGTGTGTGTGCATCTACCCATGCACCTGGGCAAATCCTCTGAATCCACTTGTACACAATGCATGTGCTGGGAACCTGCCCTGTTTGGCTATATGGAGGATACCAAGAATCCCCAAAGTATTAGCTTTCTGCTTCAGAGAGCACAAAGGCTCAATCAGGGGCAGTCCCCAGGGATGGTCAGAGTTCAGGAGGAAGAAGCTAACCTATGAGGTGGTGAGTTGCTTGTCTCTGGAAGAAACCAGCATGTGTAGAGCCTTTCTCAAGGATGTAGGCATAGGGACATGGAACCAGGCACATAGAATGGAAATTAACATGAATTCATGGGGAAGCATTTGCTCATGAAAGCTACTCTCTCCATTGTTACTGAATGATGGATGAGAGGCTTCAGGTATGCTCTCCGATGTCCCCTTACCTCTCAGGAGTTTAGAGAAGGGATTCCTTCTGGAAGGAGAGACCTGGGATGTGGCACTTAGGCCAGAATTTGAAGAGGAGGTTGTGTCTGGTACTTACAGGGAAAGGATATTTGAGCAAAGTTGTGGAGGCAGGATGTGTCAAAGGAACAAGGAAAGACATAGTATACAATACTGTGAAGAAAGTTGGCTGGGATCAGATGGTAGGAGGCCTTGAGTGTTAGGTGAGGGAACTTGAACTTTATGATTAAGACTAGGGGTATTTTCATGGTTTCTGAGAGGAGAAAAGACTTTATTGGAGCTGGGCTCAGGAGCACTGTGATCTGTGGCAGTCTATATCTGAGAGGTGCTACAGAAGGGAAGTTGCAGGAGGCGTTAACTGGGAAGGTGACCTTGTGAGGCTGAGCAGGGCTGGTAGAGATAGAGCAGAAGGGGCTCCACAAGAGACATTGCTGTAAGAGGTGGGAGGGGCAGTCATCTGTTCTGTGTCAGAGCCTGTGGTCAGGGATTTAATGATCCCCAAACAACCTTCTGAGGAGATTGTGATTATTGTCTTTATATTGTAGAGGAGGAAACTGTGAGTCGGAAAGGTTAAGCAGCAAATAAGTGACAGGATAGGGATTTGAGCCTAGGGAAAGATGGAACAGACCTGATCTGGTAACTAAATAAATGTTGGGGGTGAGAATAGAGGAGGAGACTCATGACGACGGAGACTTGGGTTCCACTGCTTGAGTGACTGGTGATACCACCAGTACAGATGGAGCCCTGGGTACAGGGTCAGGTGCAGTAGGTTAGAGACATGTCATCCTGTGGATGGACCCCAGCACTGGGACAGGAACTAAAGCAGCTGTCACTCCTGCCTTCTAGGCCCTTGTTGTGATGGCTTGCTGAGCCCGCTATGGGGAAGGGGGATGGAAACTGCAGCCACCTGGGTGCTGGCAAGATGCTGAAAGGAGCTGAGCTGAGGGAGGCATTATGGAGGGGGGTCCCCAGGTCCCCAGGGACTGGCAAGACAGTCACTGAGCTCATATCACCCCTTGCTTTTCTCCCATCAGAATGAATGCATCTTCTTTTGTAATGCACAGGGACCCAGTTGCTCTCTCTCCCTTGGTGAGAATTAGTTCAGTTGATCTGTTTTCCCACCCCCTGGTTCCCTCCTATTTCCTCCCAAACAGGCTAAAAGATGCAGTTTTGTATGGAAGAGTGTGGAATTGCAGAATAGTATGGAATTGCTGTTTTAGAAGCCTATGAGCAGGTCCTGAGCTTCTTACAGTGTCAAAATCATAGTGTTCTAGGGACAAGTCTGCTCTCTTAAAGCTTTGGAAAATCATGGTCTTTTGTTAGTCATTAGTGAGTAATAGAAATGGGCCTAAATCCTGAAGCTCCCAACCCTTGGGTTTTGCCTTCTCTAGCTACACGTGAGGGGCAGCCGTCCTGGAGAACAGCCTCCAGGCTCTCTGATAGCACAGCTTTATAGACAGAGGTTCTGGCACTGGATGGACCACTTCAAACTTCTTCCCCTAACACAACACACAAGACACAGACACACACACACACACACACACACATATCACACACAAAACAGCACATTGTTTCTTCTCATCCATCTAGTGGTTAAGTCATTTCTTTGACATCTTAAATTGTTTCTTGCCTCTCTGAGCAATTTGATCAGGCACCATTTAGTGGGAGAACCAGAAAGTATCCATTGGAGTATTAGGGTCAGGGGGAGCCCTCAAGTAAGCCGAAAAGTACCTGTGTGTGATCCCTGGGCCATAAGGCAGCGACAGGGAAAAGGCAGAAAAGTGGAGGATGACTGTGGGAGAAGAGGGAGCGGGGAGGAGGCCAAGTAAAAAAGGAAGGAAGGAAAAACTGGGTTCATGGCATGGACAACTGGTGGCCTGGGAAGAGCTATCTCTGGGGCTTCATTGGGAACCTGAGCCTGCTCATTCTCAGAGAAGCAGCCATGAAGCGGAGGGATAACCAGGTAGACATAACAAAGAGCTAGTTGGCCTTTTAATATATTGTCCTGTCCATTATGGACACTTTTGAGTGAAAGGGAGAATATTAAGAATCATGCTGGGACAACAGGCATCAGCCAGAAGGTCCTAGGCAAACTGTCAACTTCATGGTAACCAAACACAGTAAGTACCAGACATGGTCTAAGGACCCTGCATATGTTTGCTTGTCAAAGCCTCACTACCACCCCATCAGTAGGAACTGCTGTCATTCCCATTTTACAGAAAATTCATTGAGGAACAGAGAGGCAAAGTATCATGTTCACAATCACACAGCTAACCATGGGTAGGAGCAGGGTTTGAACCCAGGCAGTTTGGCTTTTTTAGAGCTCCCCCCAAGCATCATATTACATAAGCTGTTACCTACAAATGGCATCCACACAAAGATTCCCTTCTCCCCCTCAGGACTCAGCAAGTGGCCTTTTGGGTCTTTATTTCCCCTTCACAATTGCTCTAAATAGCCCATTAAGCATGACTTAATTTGGTGAAGGGGAGGAAGCACACTCTAGACTTTGTCCTCCACCAGCTCTGCAACTTGTGCAGCATGGTTGGTCTTGGCCTCCAGTGTCCAAGTTCTGCTCCATCTTGCTTTGTCCTGCTGTGCCTTTTCAGACTAGATCCCTGAGGGCTGAATTCCATATAGGAGGGACCTCTTGAAGGCCAGTGTTGGGATTGGCTTCCTGAGGTACCTTGCCTGCCTAGGATATAGCCAGAGGGGTCCACTATGTGATGAACCCCTGCAGGGCCGCTTCCAGTTTGAGGAAGGTAGGGTTAGGGTTAGGGCACATTCTTGTGGCACATTCTTCTGGAGACAGTGCATTCCATTCTTTGCTGAGGGTCCCAGCGCTGGCCTTCTCAAAATGCTAGCAGGGGACTTCCTTCCTCGCCTGATGATTGACACACCTGAATAAGGCTGGCTGAAGGAAGCATTTATAGAGGCACAAGCCGGGTGTGGTAGAGCCTGACTCTGGGGATACTCCAGGTGTTCCCATGTGATGCAGGGAGGTGGGAGCAGGCAGGCCTCCCCTGGGGTTCAAATCCAAGGGCCTCTGTCTTTTCCACACCTAAAGATTCTTTATTTACACAAAGATCTGATTTTCCTGGGGGAGTCACAGCCTGAGAACTTGTGGGAGGGAGGATGCATTAATTGGTTTTCTGTTGGTAATGACAGTGCCAGGCTGGTTAAGTTACAAGAAAGAGAGGTTTATTCTGGCTCATGTTTCTAAAGGTTCAAACCCAAGATCTTGCAGGCCCCATGGTTCTGCATCTGATGATGGCCTCACATGGCATGGGACAGGGTGTGTGGATGTGCATGTGTGTCTCCTCTAGTCTCTCTCCCTCCTCTTTTTTATTTATTTATATTTTATTGGCGCGTATTTGTTATACAGGACTGTGGGTTTCGTTGTGGCACATTCATACACACAAAAACATAATTTGATCAATTTCACTCCTCCAACCACTCCCCCACCCCCCACCTCCACTCCCCACCCACATCGCCTTCTTATAAAGCCATCAGGATGCAATGATGGATGTTCACCCTAATGACCTTACCTAATCTTGGTCACCTGCCAAAGGCCCCAGCTCTAAACACCACAACTGGTTTAAGATTCCAACCTAGAAATACCTCCCAATGGAGATTAAAGTTCAACAAATGAAACCCTGGGGGGCACTCTCAAACCATGTTGAAGTCACAGCAGTGGAAAGGGTGCCTTTCCCCAGGGAGGTTCAGCAGAGAGCCTCCAGGGCCTTAGCACCCAGCCCCATGCTCCTAGAGTTCCTGGGGTCTGTGGAATGCTCCGCCCTGCCAGGATTGTCAGGAGAAAGGCGAGAAGGGCAAGAGGCAGCCCAGAGGCTGCAGGTGAGCCAAGGCCCACCTGGCCAGCGGGCAGGACTGCCCCCACTCTTGGAGCCTGCTCTTGGGGTTCCAGCCAGGCTGCTTCCTTCTCTCC